TGCTTAGCATTTCCACTGCACAGGGCTGGCATTTTTGTTCATTGTGAAAAATCACCCCAGAAATCATTTTTCCATGACGGTGGATGTTGGGCACCACCACTAGCTGGTCTGCTTACCGTAACAGAGAAACTGTGAGTAACAGACACAAATTCGTGGCCAAGCCCACTGAGAGATAAACGCCTGCACACCCCACGAATGACTTATGTGCTTGAGCCACGTTATTAAGTGCTAACTAATTTGTCCACTAGTTTATAGACCTGCCGGACCTCCCCTCCTCATGCATATTTTATGACCTCGGTGAAGTAATTAAAGTTTACTCCGATAGCTTATGCTCCTGCTGTGCGTGTGGCTAATCTCTTTTGGGGACTCTGTCACTGAAAATGCAAGCTGTACTCAGAGAAGCCCCTGGCTCTCCAGCTGGCTTCCTCCATCCAGCCAAGGGAGAGGGGAAGCAGGTCTGCTGTGGATGAGCTCAGATGAGGCTGAGGCCCATCTGCTTCCCCGGTGCTTCGTCTACACAGCCTATGTAGAAACTCTCCCTGTGTACTGGCCCAAGCCTCGCAAGGCCCAGGCAGGGGCATGGCATTTCAGAGAGGGTTGCTGTTGGTTTTCCATCCCAGCCTGGTCCCACAACCACTTCAGCCTCAAATAAGCACACAAAGACTTGTATTAACTATTAAGTTATTGGTCAATGACAAGGGCTTCTTATCTGACTAGCTCTGTCTTAACTATTAATCCATTTCTACTTATCTTTGTATATCCGTGTGGTCTTATCTTACTAGGGAAGGGTCTGGACCTGTTACTCCTTTGGCGGCTTTCATGGCGACTCTTCTGGCGGGCTGTCTCTGCCTGCCTTTCCCAGAATTCTCCTAGTCCCAGTCCCTCCCACCTTCCTGCCTCATTGGCCAGACAGTGCTTTATTCATCAGCCAACGAGAGAAACATATACACAGAAGGACATCCCCCATCAAGAGAGGGCTCCTGTTACCTGGGTCCTGGAGACGTCAGCAAGGACATTCACGCACATCCTGATCCCCTTGTCAGTCTCACATTCCTGTGTTTGAGTGTGGGAAAGCCCTCAGAGCAGACCACGGCCTCATGCTCTTGGCCAGTTTGTGCTCCTGGAAACTGGACCTGTGGACGGAGCACAGCGTGGTCCTTCCTGGGCACCTCAGGGCAGGAGCTGCTGCTTTGTGTGGTACCTCACCCTGCATCTACTCACAGGAGCCTCTGGCTCCCAGCAGCCCACTGTGCTGCTCCATCATTTGCTGGTAGGATTTTTACCTAAGCCATTTAGCAAACCCACCATTGCCTGCTTGCGTGTGCCTGCCCCTCTCCCTCTCCCTGGACCTTGTACGATGCTGCTGCCACTTTTTCCAGAACAGGGTTCCTTGTCTCACAAACAGGTCTCATGCGTTGTTCTGTACTGCTACTCCTTTAGAAGTTTCTTTCCTTTGCCCCAAGGCATTTCCTTTCTTCTGGGAAATACAGAGAAAGCCACCACTGTCCTGCTATCCATTATGACGCCAGGTCACCACTAAGATATACCTGAGGACAACACACTTGCAGGAGAGCTAGCAGCATGTTATGCTATTGCTGCTTTAGGTTCTAAGTTAAAATGGAGACCGTGTTTGCTTCTCATTGTACAAAAGCTTCATTGAGTAGCATGCTCCCAAAAGCTGGCCTGTGACATTGCTGGCAGCTGCTTCTTCATACACATCTCCTAGAAAAGTTTCCTTTGAAGAAAGAATGTTTGGAGTCCTTTCAACTATTGTCTTTTGTTGTTTTCAGATTATACATAGAGCTTACATGTCAGTAATAAAGACAAATCCAATAGGGCAGGGGTGAATATAGATTTCTCCAAAAAAACAGTCTATGAAAGGTACTCAGTATATGCCCGTCTTTTGGATGTGCGGTAGTTTGAGAATATTTTATAAGCTCATAGGGAGTGGCACTGTTAGGAGGTGTGGCCTTGTTGGAGGACTCTGGATAACACATGCATTTAATCCAGGTCTTGAGACTGGAGGGCACACCTTTGTGTGGGCCACGCCTCTTCTGTTGGAAGTGTGTCACTGTGGGGGCGGGCTGTGAGCTCTCTTTTCTCAAGCTTCACTCGGTGCGGCAGCCAGCCGACTTCCTGTTGCCTCTCAGTCAAGGTGTGGCACTCTCAGCTTCAGCACCACATCTGCCTGCACGCTGCCATGCCCACCACCACGATGGACTGAGCCTCTGAACTGTAACCAAGTCTCCACAATGAATTGCTTTCCTTATAAGAGCTGCTGGGGTCATGGTGTCTCTCCACAGCAATAAAAATCCAAACTAAGACAGCATGCCGATCAAAACTGAAACGAGGAACCACCTGATACCCCTAAAGGATGAATGAGAAAAACAAAACAAAGCAAAAATCCTCATGGCTAGGATGGAGAATAGGATTCCAGGTGTCCCTGAAGGACTTTAGGAAGTAATGTCACTATACAAAACAACTGAGGATTTTTTTTCCCATTGATAGATTACTGTACAACCTAGAATCCTATCCCCGTGGGAATTTACCGATGGGAGAATTGAAAACACATCTGTACACAAAACAATCTGAACAAGAATGAGCCTTACCAATCTCACATGAGAGTCAAAGCTAGAACCATCTTAGATATTTGTCAGTTGAGCAGACCCTACAGAGGCGTACCAAGTCCCTAAATGGAATAGTACTCATCCGTAAAAATGAGAGCAGGTATATGCAGCGACGTGGACAGGACTCAAAGGCTCTGCCTGTGGAACAAGTCAGGAAAATAGCAAACAACGTTAGGTTCTGTGTGTGTGGACGGGGGAGGAATGTTCCCAGATAAAGAATGAGGACGAGAGGCTGGTGCTGGGAACGGACGGCTGGCTGAGAGATTGCTAATAGGTGAAGAACTCGCTTTAGGAAATAATGTTCTAAACAGAGAGAGTTATTAAGCTGTGACATCCTCCCCCAACGTATCCTTTAATAAGTAAGTTTTATGGTGTGTGAGTTATACTGTAATAAAACTGTTATTTTAAAAGGTGAAATTAGGATTCTACCACCAGCATGCAGAAGTGCTTCTGATTTTGCCCTCCCCTGGGTTGAACTGTTTATTGGATAATGCACTGCACAACCCTGTTCCCTGGTAGCCACAGAGCACAGAAGAGGCCGTAGCCCACATCAGAGTGTACATGTTCATCAGCAGCTGCCAGCCACAACCAAGCATGGCGTGTGTGCCCACAGCACCCAGCGCTGTGATTTCCATCCACACGGCACCCGGCGCTGTGATTTCCATCCACACGGCACCCGGCGCTGTGATTTCCATCCACGCGGCACCCGGCGCTGTGGTTTCCATCCACACGGCACCCGGCGCTGTGGTTTCCATCCACACGGCACCCGGCGCTGTGGTTTCCATCCACACGGCACCCGGCGCTGTGATTTCCATCCACACGGCACCCAGCGCTGTGGTTTCCACCCGCTGCGGCTCCGTGAATTAAATCCCACAGAAGGAATAACAAGGTTGATGAGTAGAAGCTGCCGACTTCACAGAGCTGCGCCTGTGCCTCTCCACTGCTGTTTTTTTTTTTTTTTTTTTTTTTTGGTTTTACGAGACAGGGTTTCTCTGTATTGTTTTGGAGGCTGTCGGTCCAGCCTGTCCTCGAACTCACAGAGATCCGCCTGCCTCTGCCTCCCGAGTGCTGGGATTAAAGGCGTGCGCCACCACTGCCCAGCTCTCCACTGCTGTTTTAGGTATATTTAGCTGACATGGCTCCTGCTTGCAAGCTCCCTCAGCTTGCCCTTGACAAGGTAATATTAAACGGAGGGAACGTTTCTGGGAGTGAGAATCCATGTCTGCACTTCTTGGGGGGAGCGAAAGGCGCGGCCGCTTCAGTGCCGCTTGTGAGACATTGTGGGCAGAGCGGCGTTGTGGTGAGCTCCCAGTTCAGTTTCAGACACAGTGACCCTTGTTGTGTCCTGTGGTCTGCCAGCAGAATGATGTGTGCATAATGGGAGAGGGGGAGAACAACGCTATGGATAAAGACTGAACTGCTTGCCTGGCGCTCGGATCCCCCGGCTTTCAGAGCAACAGTGAGATTCCTGGTGTGAGCTTATGACCCCACACCAGCCAGCTTGGACTCTCACAGATCAGGGTGTGTAAGAGACCTTGTCTCAAGCAAAGAGTAGAAAGTTTCTTAGGACAACACTGAGGTTGTTGTTTGGTGGGCTACACACACACACACACACACACACACACACACACAGTGTGCAGGTGAAACACCCCCAGAATGGGAAGACCCTCACTCAAGTCTCGGGATAAGCTGACACCCCAATAATTCAAGAGAGACCATTCTTGATGCAAGCACACGAGGTTTAGTGGGGAACCAGTGCACTGGGGCCGAGCTCATGACCCTCGCAGGGGCAGAGGAGATCGACTCCTAGTAACTGCAGTCAGGGGTTTTTAAAAAGGAAAAACCAAATCCGGGAGTTAGGCAAATGTCATAAAGGATGAGAAGTTAAATGATAGCTCATGTCTTAACGGGAAGGTTATAGGTTATCTCAAGCAAGCATTCTTTGGGCATTGTACACTTAAACATTGAGCAGGAATGTGGTGAGCTAGTTCCTGGATCAGGGAGGGTTATCTTTTAAGTTTATCTTGAGGTCTCCAGTTTCTCAGGAGAGGGCAGAAGGACAAGTCACTCTGTGATGGGCTAGTGGCTAGGGGTCTAAAAATGTTGAGTTGGGATCTCTCATAGGCAGGCACCCCACGTGACCATGGCCCCCTCTGTACATGTGTATATGCAGAAGGCTGTGAAGAAAGAATCCGAAGTCTATTAGAATTTCCGAAGCCGGTCCCCTGTCGGACAGGGGTAGGGCCATTTGTTTCATCCTGAAGACCACCAGATGCCCTTGCAGCTCGGGGGTGGGGGGTTGGGGGGGTGGGGGAAGGGGTGTAGAATGAGAGTTGGGTCCTGTACACAGTTCTGCACATCTTTATTCAACAGCGACTACGTGCTTGGATGTGGAGTATGGTGTCAGCTGCCCCTGGTGCCTGTTCCCCAGAGGCTCAGAGCAGCGGGAACACAGGTCAACCCTGTCAAGAAGACAACCTGTGGTGAATACCAGGACCAGGACCAGGAAGCATCCGAGGAGCCAGGCACATTAAAGCTGTAAACAATTAGCCCTCGATAGGTTTGTGTCGGGAGATCCCTTGCAAGGAGGAGTGACACTGGACGGTTCACAAATGAGCAGACTGGGAGGAACATGCTCATTACAGAGTAGCTGGGGGCAAAGACAGGCAGGTGCCAGGTGCTTGTGAGGGCCTGGGGGACATGCCAGGGGTATCGCTGAGCCATCAAAAGCTCTGTTACTGACATTCGCTAACTTACTGTGAAGGAATTACTATCCGTGTTGTTTTTTTTTTTTCCAATTGTGTAAAACTGCAATTTCACACAAGCAAAGGAAAGGGCCCTGTATGTTAACCGCACAGTCCCAGACACCATCAGCTTACTCTCCATCTGTCTACATAGAAAGGTACAGCCCCTCACACATACATTTTTCTCTGTCTTGAACACTTTTTTTTTTTTGTGGAAAGGAAGGCAAGGTATCAGTCAGTTTTATTCAAAAGTACTTTGATGTGAACCTCCACAAGAAACAAACTCTGGAAGGACACAATGATCTCATCATCTCCTCAGAATCAATGGAAATAATGGAAACTTCCGCAGCTCTGCCAGAGTCATCCTGGACACCGACATCAACGGGCATGGCTCGTTCTGATTCCCCTTTGGGATTTTGCATTGTGTTGGGAAGGATGCTTTAGCAGACAGGATTTCATGCCTAAAGGCAATCACTTACCAACTGTGTATCCCGACTTAGCCACTGTTGTTTGGGGAGTTGTCTCATCAGAGGACCATGTTAGAGCCTGGTTCCTACCTCCTTTGGGAGGTGGTTATCAAGTCAGTGGGGTATGCATTTGTGTGACTTTATCCTTCCACTTTGTTTCTCTGTGTTTGCCTGTGTGTTTGTCAGATTGATGCAAGGGCAGGGGGTCATTCAGGAAGAGGCAACCTCAGTTGAGAAAATGCTTCCATCAAATTAGCCTGTAGGGTTTTTTTCTGTTTTGTTTAGTTTTGGTTAATTGCTGATGTGGGAGGGCCCAGATCAGTGTGGGCGGTGCCAACCCTGGTTAGGTGGTCCTGGGTTGCATAAGAAAGCGGGCTTAGCAAGCTGTGGGATGCAAGCTGGTGAGCATGGCTGCTTCAGTTCCTGCCTCCAGGGTCCTCCCCTGACTGCTCTGGACGGGGCTGTGAGCTGTGCGATGAAATAAGCCCTTTCACCTCAAGTGGCTGTGCGCGTGGTGTTTATCATTAAGACACCTTCTTTGCTCTCTGTTCATTGGTCCATGAGATGGAAGAAAGGCTGACTCTGCCAGGTCTCTTCCTACCATGATGACCGGCTCCCTGGAAACGCAAGATAGAGGCTACGTCATCATGGACCGGAACTGTCCAAACCACGAACCAAGATGGTCCTTCCCTCGTCATGAGTTAACTGTTTAATGTATTGTTTCGGTGACGGGAGGCACATTGTCACACTCACCACTCTACATTGAAGGCCCACAGTGTTTTTCTTCCAATCTACAAAGCTGAGTATAGCACTTGTCTAAGGGATTCTGATGGGCCCCCTCCGTGCACCTTAGGGCACACTTGGTCCATGAGAGAGTATGGTAACCATTATCTCCCCATGTTCTACCCCAGCTCATTCCTGTTTGCAAACATCGTAGGCAGGTGAGGTTAACACAGACCTGCTTCATTTCTGATGTACACTGGTCTGGGATGGGGGTGTCCTTACAGCCGGGGTTACATGTGTCGTTCTCCATAGCCATAAAACACACATGTGGACCTACCCCTGTGTGGCAGGGGAATGGCTTCTGAAATGTAGTATCTACACTAAATTCTAGGGAACTTTGGAATCTTTGTTTACTGTCTTGTTATGAGTGTGTGCATCTGTTTTTGCACATACACACACATGCAGGAGGCTATCCAGTCCTCTTTCTAAGAACGAGTCATGAAGGAATCCTTATTTTGATTACTGTTCCTCATGGGCAAATACTGTTTCAAGTCTTAGAATTATTTCCAAAGCCTGTCCATGGGTACATATCCCAGACTTGACCTCCATTCTACTGAGAGAAAACTACCCAAACTCTTTCCGAGAGACTTTTTTGTATCCCCTTACCCCTTTTGCTTTGAGAGGACCATGTGCCGTTCTCGGTGCGAGAACTCTCATCGCCAGCTTCCCTTCCCATCACCACAGTGTTTAGTGATGTTAGCTTTTAGGGAGCGAACCATACTCCCCTCCTTGGCTCTGTTGCATCTGTGAAGATGTTCAGTAATGGTAGTGTGCTTTCTCTCTGCAGTTCATACTTGCTTAAAAAGGAACTGTCCTAGTCTACTTTCTGTTGCTGTAATAAAACCCTGACCGAAAACGGAAAGAATTTCTTTAGCTAATATTGAGGGAAGTTGGGGTAGACACTCAAAGCAGAGGCTAGGCCGTGTGGGAGCATGGCTTACTGGTTTGTGATCTTAAGGCTCCACTTGATTTCTGATGCAGCCTAGGACCATCTGCCTAGGGATGGTGCTGCCCACAGTGGGCTGGACCCTCCCACATTAATTAGCAATGTAAAACAAGCAACAACGAAACAAACCTAGAAATCTAGTGCAGTGGAAACTCCCAGGAATCTACAAGGATGACCCTAGCGAAGACTCCTAGTAATGGGGTAATACAGAGCCTGGGACAGCCATCTTCTGTAGCCAGGCATGGTTTCCAGTGGAGGGACTGGGACAGAAACCCAGCTACAAAACTTTCAGCCTACAATTTTTCCTGCCTGCCGGATGCCCTGGGATAAAAGCAGTGCGGGACTCTGGGCCCAGTCTCCAGCACTGCATAAGCTGTGTATGGTGAAACATGCCTGGGATCCCAGCTTTCGGGAAGTGGAGGCAAGGGGGTTAGAAATTAAATGTCATGCTCGGTTGCATAATGAGTATGAGGCTATCCTGGGATGCATGAGACCATTTCTTGAAATACAGGGACAGCCTTCACCCCTGACCTAAAGTGAACTCTATCCCCAAGATCCAAAGAATACTTTCTTTTTTTTTTTGGTTTTACAAGACAGGGTTTCTCCGTGTTGTTTTGGAGGCTGTCGGTCTAGCCTGGTCTCGAACTCACAGAGATCTGCCTGCCTCTGCCTCCCGAGTGCTGGGATTAAAGGCATGCGCCACCAATGCCCGGCTACAATACTTTTAATATTTGTAATGATATTATATCTCAGGTTTTCAATCTTTTAAAGCATTTGAAAAACTTTAATTACGTGAATGTGTTTGTGTCAGTGTGTGGGACTGTGCATGTGTGGTGAGTGTGGGTGCCCAGAGATCTGGGAGGGCTGGAGTTATGGGCAGATGGGCTTCACCCAACATATATTCTGGCCAACTAGCTTGGGTTCTCTGTAAGAGCAGAGTGTGCCATTGACCACCGACCCATGGCTGCAGGCCCACATTACCAGTGGTTGTTTATAACTGTAATTGTCCATAAAAGACTGGAAAAGACAGAAACGTTCTAAGATCTTGAGTGTGTCCTCCCTGCTCCTGGGGCCTGCAGGCTAATCCTTGGGCAGTGTCTCACACCTTTACACTTGGATCAAAGAGCCAATGCCAAGAGAGACCCAGAGGCAGGATGGCCTCGTGTGGGATATGCTACTGAAAAGCTGTCTCTTCCAGTCTCACTGAACAAAATATGGGGTCATGGGAAACGATTTCTTTCGATTACCCTGGCTTCACATTTTATGTTTCCTGGCATGCCACTAGGACTACACAGGAAAATAAATAGCCACTTGTCTATATTTTGAAGTTTACTATTGCTCCCATCTCAGGACCATGCAAACACAGTGTTGCCGGAAGGTGTACATTAGGGGTGGAAATACCTACTGGAGAAGAAGCAGGGGCACCATGCAAGCCAGTGGTGACTCCAGCGCCCTCTCTCTGGCGGCATCTGCTCCATCCTGTAGCTCCCTCCAATTCGGCGATTTTGCTAGTAATTTGTACTGTTTTGTTGAAGCATTTACCAACTAATATTGTAGTTGTTCACCAATAAATGCCATTTTTTATTTATTTTGTTTTTTCCTTTATTTATCTTTTTATACATGTTACTCTCAGTTCCCTCTCCCTCCCCTCCTCCCCCGGCCCTCCACCCCACTCTTTCCCTCCTTTGATCCCCAGAGAGGGTAAGGGCTTCCGTAAGGGATTTTCAGAGTCTGTCATATCATCCAGGGCAGGGCCTAGATCCTCCCCCATGTGTCCAGGCTGAGAGAGCATCCCTCCATGTGGAATGGGCTCCCAGAGTCGTATGCCAGGAATAAATACTGCTCTACTTTCCAAGGTCCCACAGATTGCCAAGGCCTCTTCTCTGACACCCAGGATGGGGGGTGGGAGTCTGAATCAGTCCCATGCTGGCCTCTCAGTCATCCGTCTGGGGTCCATGGGTTCCCTCTTGTTTAAGTCAGCTGCCTCTGTGGGTTTCACCAACTGGGTCTTGATTCCTTTACTCATCACTCCTCTTTGCATGGTTCCAAGGGTTCAATTCTGGTTTTAGCTGTGGGTGTCTGCCTCTGCTTCCATCAGCCACTGGATATAAGGTAGTCATCAATCTCATTCTCAGGAGAGGGCATTTAAGGTAGCCTTAATGACAGTTGGTGTCATTCTTGTAGATATGTGAAGATCTCACTGGTGCCAGATCTCTCCTCCAACTTATAATGGCTCCCTCTATTATGGTATCTCTTATCCTTCTCTCCTCTATTCTTACCCTGGCTCAACCTTCCTGCCCCCCCCATATCCTCCCCTCCTCTCTTCTTTTCCCCCCTCTCTCCCATCTCCTTCTGCCCTCCACTCCCCCCTCCCGCTCCCCCCTCCTGCTCCCAATCCAATTATGAGATCTCGTCCCATAACCCTTCTCCGGGTTATCATGCATATCTCTCTTAGGGTCCTTCCCTGCTTCCCAGACTCTCTGGTGGCCATTTTTAATAAGACTAAAAGTTTTGTGAGATACACTTTTGAACCAAAGGGTTCTGTTCCACTAGGCTGATAGCGGGTTCTCACTCTCAATAGTAAGAAAGCCATGCAGAGGTTCTTAGAGGCAAGAGATAGGAGCAAGGCTTCCCCTCTCAGCTCCAGCAATTCTCACCCAGAAAGCCCCGCCCCGCCCAGCCCCACCCAGCCCCGCCCAACCCTGCCCAACCCCACCCAGCCTGGTGTGGGGGGTGCAATTGGCTGGAGTGGGTGTCAGTTAAACATACAGCCCGGCCCAGCCCAGCACAGGGCAGGTAAACAGCCCAGGGTCCACAGAGAACAGCTGCATATCTCATCAAGCCCCAGGGAAGGTGGCTGACACCTGGCTCCTCCTCCTCTTTTGCTGTCATTTTGTAACTGGAAATTGATTTTTTTCCAGGAGGTAGCTGAAGTGACAAGGCGTTATCTCTTCGATCCCAACGATCTCCTCCTTTTCATCCTTTCAGATAATCTCCACCAACATTGTGTGTCCTTCCAAAGGATGTTCAAAGCCGGAGATAGTCCCGATAATCAAGGCAATTTGTCGTTGGATTATCATATGCTTAGCAGAGTATAGTGGTTCAAAACGGCTTCCCTTTGATTGTGTGAGACAGCTTGATGACTTCATTTCATTTATTCCTCTGAGAGCCCCAGTACTCGGGCTGCTAAAGGATTTGGGAAACTCCATACCATCTTATCAGCCCCAGCATCACCAAAGCTGTTGGAAACATCAGGAAATAGATTATCTTCCACCGATATTATACTTTTGTATATCGCAGGATAACACAGAGTATGACACAGAAAATTATGTCGTCTAAATTCCCATGTCCACGTGATGTAGTTTTAATCTAACAAATTTTGGGAAAGGACTGTCCAGTCGAGCCCATGGTATGTGCTGGCTATTTGGCACCTAAGAGCAAGGTGCATTATATGTTTATTTTTCGTGTATGGTTGTTTTGTCTGCTTGTATATATTTTCACCCACAGAGGCGGGAAGAGGGGGTTGGACCCCTGGAATTAGAGTTTCAGATTGTTGTGAGCTGCCCTGTGGGTGCTGGGAATTGAACCCTGATCCTCTGGCAGAGCAGCCAGGGCTCTTAACTTCAGAGCCAACTCTCCAGCCCCCAAAGGAGCTTGCTTTCCTGTGTCGTTCCTATAAGCACGTGACTTCCGAGCAGCATGTACGGCAATTTGCACCGACTCTTCACCTCATCTTAAAGCTATGAAAATAATGACCATCCCCTCTGGATATAATCACTCTAGTGACAGGCCTTCTGTCCCTTGTAATCTCAGGTCTCATAGGTGACAAAAGTCAGACATGGTTACATTTTGTTAATGGCGTTTATGATGGCTTTTGTTTCTGAAAAGACAGCAATCGCAGTTCTACACAGATGATGGCTCTGTTAAGGGTTACTGTTTTTGATCACTTTGATAAACTAATCTCTAGATCAAATATAAACCGGCTTTTGCTTTTAATACCTTGGTTACATCTCTCATCCTATAAAGCTTGTGGTGTAAGGTCCGAGTCTCTTTCTTTTGTTTTGTGTTTGGCTGGCAGTCCGTTTCTCCTTCACTTTTCCCATTTCACCGGACTTGGAATTGTCAGTTTATAAACAACACTTTGCCCTTTGTTTCATTCAGGCCTCGTGAGGCTGCTGAGAAACCCAGTCCCGTATGTGTCTGGTGCCTCCGTGGGTGTGTCATTTTATTCCTTTGTGGGTGTGGTGTTTTATTCCTTTGTGGGTGTGGTGTTTTATTCCTCTGGATGACTGCAGAATTTACTCTTTATGCCATTTCTGTGGTTTCAACATGAAACCGCCGGTGTATGTTCTGAGTCCTTGTTCTGTTTGAAGTCTACGGGCTTCTTGAGTCTGTCACAGGGTGCCGGTAGTGATTTGAATGAGATGTGTTCCCCACAGACTTAGTTATGTGAACATCTGGTGCCCAGTTGGTGGCGCTGTTAGGAGAGATGGGTTTAGGAGGTGGGGCTTGCTGGAAAAGACACCGGTGAGGGTGAGCTTCGAGAGTTCCCTGCGCTACCCTGCTTCTCGTTCTTTCTCCGCTTTATGCTCGCTGTTGACAAGCTTGGTTTCCCAGCTGCCTGCTGCTGATGCTCAGCCTGCAGCTTGCTGCCAGGCCATTCCCCGTCTGTGATGGGGACACTATCTCTCTGGAGTCTCAAGACAAAGGAGACTTCCTTCCATACTTGTTCTTGGCCGTGGTGTTTTATCACCGTGGCAGAGACGTCACTAGTACAGTATCGCCCACTTTACCAAACCCATGGCTGCTATCAGTTCGATTTTCTCTCTGCCTTTCTTTCTGTAGCACTCTTGTAAAATGTATTATCCCCATGTAATTGGCCCACAGTGTTTGCATATTCTGATCCAAGTTTTTTTTACTCTTTCTCCTCTTTGCAGCTTGATTTTTAGAGGTTTCCCTTGCCTTATCTTCACCAGCCATTTTCATGTCTGTGTGTTTTCATATCTAGTATTTCCTCTTGGTTCCTTCTTAGGGTTTCTTTTTCTCAAGAACTTAAATTGTGTGTGTGTGTGTGTGTGTGTGTGTGTGTGTATGTGTGTACGTGTGTACATGGGTGTGTGCATATACGATCCTATAGGCTTTCTGAGTGTTTTACTTGTCCATGGGAAACTTGAATAAGACAGTAAGTAGGACAGAAGTGTTTTTTATTATCTGTCAGAATTCTTACATTGTTAATTCAAAATAGTGCTACAGCTATTTTAAAAACTATATTCAAATTACTTGCTTGTGTTCATGTATGTGAGTATGCTTATGGAGGTAAGGGGACAGTTCACTCAAGTTGGTTCTCTCCTTTAACCATGTGGGTCCCAGGGACCAAATCCATGTATGTCATCAGTCTTGGTGGCAATCACCATTACCTACTGAGCCACCATACTGGCTCCTTCCTCAGAGTCTGTCTGTCTGTCTGTCTGTCTGTCTGTCTGTCTGTCTCTCTCTCTCTCTCTGCCTATGTTACTGCTATTTCCACATATGCTATTTTCTATAAATATTTATAGAATATCAAATTTCTTCGGGGGAATATCTGGCCTGACAGTTTATAAAAATCTCTGTTGCTTGTGAGCCTGGCTGTGGTTCTTGATTTGTCTCTTCAAAATACTTCGGTATTGATCTGTGATTTTTACATAGAAAGCCAAGCAGGATGCTTTGCTTAAAAAGAGGTCTAAAGAGACGCCTTTCATTGGGAAGATTGTTGTCATGGTTAGTTTCCCTCAACTTGATACAAGCTGAGGCCATGGGGAAGAGGGGAGGTCAATTGGCCTGTGGGCAAGCCCGTGGGGGAGTTTTGTTGATGAATGATTGTCGTGGGGGGGCAGCTCACTGTGGGTAGTGCCACCCTGGAAAGCTGGTTCTGGGTGTTATGATGAGTCAGGCTGAGCAAAGCCATGGGAAGGGCAAGCTAGTAAGCAGGGCTCTGTGGTCTGTGCTTGAGTTTACCATCTCCAGGTTCCTGCCTTGAGTCCCTGCCTCCATTCCCCTCAATGACGGACTGTCGTCCGGTAATGTAAGACGGGAATCTTTCTTCTCTTAAGTTGGTTTTGACCAGCGTTTTCCCATGGAAATCAGAGTAGAATGGTCATGTTTGCCTGGCTAGGAGTGAGGCTGAGTCTGCTGTCTGCCGTGGCTGTGGTGTCAGAGGTGGCACTTCCTCCATTGGCTGTCTTTTCCTGTCCCTGCAGAGTCCTGTAGAGACAGAGTGCAGCGGCTGCCTAGCTCTTGTCTCCAGACACTGTTCCGGGGCTCTGCTGGCCTGGAGGTGGGACTAGGAAGAGGAGAGTGGTGGATGTTAAGACTGTATCTCCACCTTTTTGTCGACTACATATATTTCCACTTGTATACATTGCGTGAGGTGATTCGAGCAGGTAGCAGATTAGCGGACTCCTCTCTCTTGGCTGGCCCCCTGTCCAGTGAGTTGACTGTGAGGGTCCAGCAAGCCTCAGCAGGTTAGACTTGGAGGCACACCCTGGGGGAAGCACTGAGCAGTCCTGAATTCTTTCTGAAGGGCACTAGGGATTTTTTTCTCATCCCCCC